AGTACAATATTTTCCGTTGACAGATGGTTACTGAAATTGCTGCAACTGGATAAATTGCTCGACAGTATCGCATCGGTTTTGTGTTGGTCCAAACCACTTTCTCGGTTTTTTGAGACGGTTCCAAAAACCGTTTAAATTGGCAATGTTTATGGAGCTGGATACATGGATCGACGGTGTCACATCGGTTCTGCGCTGGTGCAAACCACTTTTTAGAATTTATGAGTTCTAAAAACAACCGGTTGAATTGGCAAAGTATAACTGGCACTTACAGGCGTGTGCCTGAAAAACGGGTGTTAATTTAGCGATTACGTTAAATACCGACCATCCATACTTCTTTCCAACCTTAACCATTCCGCTCGCACACAAATTGTTTTTCCCCAGTAAGACAAATCTTGCCCTAGTAATCATTGGGAACAAGCATGGTTGTTTGTCCAGGTTTTTCATATTCCGATCATAAAGTTTTGGTATATTAGTTGGCCTGATAAGTTCAATATTGAGAAAAATGGGACATGTGTGGTTTTTCCCCACCCCCGTCGTTTTCCTTGGTTGTAATCATGTTAAGTGGCAAATCAATATAATAAACCTACAGTTCTGTCGCATATTAGTGTACTCGTAATTTGTAAAGCAAGGAGTAGCAGCTAAGTAGCAGTAGTAAGTCCAAAAGGTAACTAATTTAGAAATATTGATATGATAAATAACTTCAAAATATCGTCAAAATCATTTGATAATGGATCAATTTTCTAGTTTAAATTATTCTACATTTTTATGGCCGATAACTAACTAAAAATTCTAACCTGCGTACTGAAGGAAACACAAAATTAAATTAATTATATTACCTATAATTATTTGTTAAATAAATGTATGGGTTTCATTAAATGATTCAAATGAAAGTTTTGAAACTTACCCAAATGCAAAATGCCACATATTAGTTCTACCACTCCAGCAAAAAAGGTGAGCATAATGGCTGCTCTGGTGTTTCCAAATGTTACATTATGAACATACTGAAAAGTGAGCAATGATAGAAGAGCGGTGGGTGCAATATTGAGTTCAGGAATTGTGCCAAAAATCGCATAAATAAATCCACCACATAATGCTGAATATAGGCCAATCTAAAAAAATAATATGTAAAATAAACATTTGCCTGTATAGTTTTAAAGATGTAAAATAGTTTGCGCACAACGATAAAGTCAGTACAAGCAAAGATAGTTTATAGCTCAATCGCATTAAAAGTTACAAATAGGCTTATATTGTATATGTTACGGTCAGATTGATTATTTCTGGCATTATTTATAGTAAGCTCCCAGCTGACGAGAACATATAGGCTCGAAACCGGTTATGGGTGTGCTTGAGGTTGGACAACCCCGAAATTTGCACTGTGTTGCGGTAGACCGTAAATCTAAGACTCAATTCTTATGACTTCTGACCAAACATCTGATGCCTGAATTCTCGTTTCTGCTGGGGCTTCTTTTATAGTTAAAGTATGTTGATCCTAACAGAAACTATACTATGTCTTTTTTAATAAGAATAGTCTGCATAAGTGGCCATGGGTATAATTATAGTTATATAAAATCCTTGGTGCTTTGTGTTTTTAATGTCAATATGTATGCATATCTTGAGAAGTAATCTACCATGAGATGTAGGAATTTTTTTGTTGACCTTCAGCCGCTGTATCCTCCAATGGTGTCTATTGAAAATTATCTCAACCAGTTTTGTGGCTGATCCTAAGATCCCTATCCTGGTCCACAATTCTTCCAGATTTATTTTATGTTGCTTTGTAAGGTCTTTGCTGTATAAAGGGGCTTATTTTATTGCTGACTTGTTTTATACCTATATGGCAGTATTCTTCATGTATTCTTCTGATGAGTGATTTACTGTATGTTTCTGTTAGTAAGATTTTGTCTTGTTTCTGGACTTTGTATAATAAACGTCTTTGAATTTTACCAGTTTGCTTGCATCTTTCTAAATTTATTGGTTATTATGCTGGTCCCTTATGATCTCTTGAACCCTGATCGTATTTACTATTTGTAATTGATCTTCTTATGTACTTCACTGGGCGGTATTTGATCTCTATATCATAGTGTGAGAGGAAGAAGATTATTTTGCCTAATTCTTCATCCGCTCTCGATTTTCTGTCCATTTTCTCTAAAGCCTTATAATCAGAGACGACTGTGAATTTTTTACTCCTGAGTCATAATTGCTAAAATGTTACTGCTTCTTTTATATCTGGCCATTCTAAATAGATAATAGTTCTCTTCTTCTGTCGAAAGTCGTTTAGTTCTCTTGAAAAAGTGATACTGGCTCTAAATCTGAACTTTCTTTCTGCGGTTGTTAGAAAACTGCTCCTATGCTTTTTACGCTAGCATCTGTGTAGATGTGTGTGTGCAATGCTGGATGGAAATTTGCTAAGATTGGTTCAGCCATAATAAGTCGTTTATTTTTCATTACATCTCATACGTACAATGCGTAAAATGGAACTTATTCGTATGGTAGGTAGTGTGTTTTATACTACTTTCAGTAGTGGTCGTAGGTAATAATATATTACATAATTAGAGTTGTAAGGAGCACTTTACGTACGAATAGAAAAGTTGAGCAAGACGCCGCGAAGCGGCTATTGCGTAATTCCATGAGTACATGAATGCGTTACAACTCGAATTATGTACCATACTTTACATACGACCATAATTAATAATTTACTAAAACTAAAAGAAAAAATTGAATATTTGTAAATATTTCAGTTTTGACAACAATTAAAACGTTGACAGCAGTCCAGAATGACAAATTAAAACGTCATACGCTCATAGACAATATTCAATAGATTACATTCTCTCGACGAGTTTTAATGTTGCTTGTGGACAAAATATCGGACTTCTTGGTTTTAAACCATCAGACTGACTTTTCAGTAGGGTAAGTATTTTTTAATACAAGATACAAGGTTTATATTGACGAATGATGACAGAACTGAGCGTTTAGTTTACCGTGCGTTTAGTTTACAATGCGTAAAATGTAACTTACTTAGATGGTAGGAAGTGTATTTTATACTACTTTCAGTAGTGGTTGTCTGATGGTTTAAAAGCAAGAAGTCCGATATTTTGTCCGCAAACAACATTAAAACTTTACGTGAAAATGTACCTTATTGAATATTTGTGTATGAACGTATGACTTTTTATTGGGGACTCGGGCTGCTGTCGACTTTTTAATCGTTGTCTAAACTGATATATGTAAAAATACACAATTTTCTATTTCAGTTTTAGTAAGTTATTTCGGTCGTAGGTAAAGGATGGTACGTAATTCGAGTTGTAACGCAATTTTTAGTTTAGTACGCACTTTATGATTTTATTATCATTTTATGACGACATTTTCCGAAACATGAAACAATATACATCCACAACTATTACGGAATATATTTTTTTAGGTTTGCTCAGATTCTATTGGAATAAATTAATCGAACACTCTTATGATGCACCTTTGGAATTTGCGACAAGAAATGTGGCTCTTATTTTAGCAGTCCAAGTCAATATCACTTAAACCGTTCGTTTTCTGACAAGTGAGTAGGAGGAAATTCATTAATCTCATGGCCTCGGTGGTCACCGGACCTAATCCAATGGGACTAGCCTTAACATAATAACATTAACATTTGTATAAGTACAAATAATCAGCGAAGTAATATCGCGATTCAGTACTAAAAAGCGATTTCGGTTGAGAATTAGAAAATACAGAAGACTCAAGTTTGAATTAAATTAATTTAAAATATGCCGTAAGTGCAATATGTTTAGCATATTTTGAAGGATGATCTAGAATTGTCATTCCATATATAGACGGTATCAAAAGTTTATCTATGATGCAAAGTTTGAGCTGTTTTATTTAAATTAATTAAGGCTATTAAGTACTTAGAGAATGCAAAATGACTTAAAACTGCAAAGTTGTTTATTAAGATAAGATCGCTTCATTTAGGTTTGCCAATTTAAAAGGTCTCAAATTATATTTATTTTGATTAGAAATTTTTTTCTTGGATTGCAATTGCGCCAACATTATCACATTAACCTGAATGGAGAATTGAGCATCTTGCAAACCAAGTCATTTAAAACAATACCTTCTACATAATAGCATTTGGAATTCACAAAAAATTTGAACATAAAAGTTAGTGTTTTTTTTTATTTTCAACATTTTTTTACTGGTTGGTGATCCTTTTAGCCGCAGTGGAACTGTTGACGTTATTTGGTCCAATTTTCATGAGAATCGGCTAATGATCTGACGACATTTCCCGAAGTACTTCGGGCCTGGACAGTCTTCCTGCGTTTTGTACAGGAATATGTCCAGGATGTCATCTCTTGGGGCGCAGCTATTTCAAGCATTGAATCTCGCTTCCGCATGTAATTGTCTCCAATTACCAGGTTATAAGCTCTTTAGCAACTCAGGATGAAAACGTATTTGCTGTTCTCGATGAACTACAAGCAGAAAGTAACCACCCATTGATTACAGCTACGGAATCCTTTACCAAAATAAAAAACACTCCATGAAATGAAGACACCAAAAAGCAAAAATCCAATATGTGGATGAACAAGACAATTTACTATGCGGAAACCAATTCCCAGAAGAAATAACACCAAATAGTTCTGGAAACCTTCAAAAGGACGCTCTCACGAAAACCCTAGAACAACTTGCCGAGAATTGAAAACAGTATAAAGGTCAGCCAAATATAGAAAAAGTAGCAGAAAAGTTTATGCTAGAAAAATTCAGTGGGAAAACGCAACTGCAAAAATGTGAATAAAAGCTTTTGAAAAAGAATGTGGTAGATTCGACAACACGCAAAATGACCACTGTATTATTTATGTTCTCAATTAGGTAAACATGAATTTATTAATTAATTAGAGCGCCAGATTATTCTAGATATATCTTTATACTGCCATCTTGTTTCAACAACGCCCAATGCAACTGTATTGGTAATTGTCTACCTTCACATCCTTCTTTCTAAAAATCCAACCTCTGAGGTGGCTTGACAATTCAACCCGAAGACTTAACTTTTTCAGCCATTATAAAAGCTTCCTCAGAGCCTATGTCACTTACATTTTCATATAAAACGTTCATCAACATCACTTTCCTTATCTAATTTCAAATAATATTTAACGTTTATTTCCTCATCCCTTTCCTTTTGAAATAGCAATGAATAATTAGCTTGTCTGCTTATTTTACTTTCGTTGGGATTAATAAATCTTTCGTTTCTAATTATAGTATTGCCATTATTCATTTTCATTTCATACGACTTCTCTCTTAATCTATAAGAATATAAGCATTCCCGGTACCCAAATTCCTTTAGGCTTTTGTTGCACATACACACTTGTCTTGACTTTTTTTGACTTGTCCTAATTTTTTCGTGTGTTGATCAAAATACTTTTTATTAACTTGTCTTCTTTTAGCAAGAAACTTATTGTAACTATTAAAATTTTATGGATTAACATCGGGTATTTATGGTATTATTGATCTCAACTTTCTAGACATTAAGAATTCTGCTGGCCTACAATTATTATCAATCTTCATATTTCTATATAACAGTAATGACAAAAATGCATCTCTATTATTCTCTAAAGGTGTCTTTAAAATAATTTTTCAAGTTTGAACATTGCTATCGGCCATACCATTGGAACCAGCATTCATGGGAGAAGTTACTACATGACTAAATTTCCAATTTTGTCCCAATTTATATCAATTTTGTGATGTTCAAAAAATGTTATTTTTTAAGGTACCCGTAGGTTAGTTGGCAATCAGAGGGTGTAATCCTTGGTTGAACTAAATATATTCCAATGAACTTTCACTACGTTGCAATTAAATTGAGTGATTAGGTCCTTTTCGCAAGATTCCCGTATGTTTCTGTATATACGAGTATACAGAGTGATTTAAAATTGTTGTCATTCCTTTTAAGTGAAGAGTTGTTTGTTGTCCGATAATTCATAACTTTCAAAGGGATTTCACTTGGCGTAGCGGAAAAATAATTTTTGGATTCAGAAAAATGTACTGCTTTCGCCGGGATTTGAACCCGCGACCTCCATGCTTTTTAAGGGTATATAAGGGCCCACTTAGAGAGTACGAGAAAAATATGAAAAACATTTTTTCCGAAAATTCCAAGAAGATATTAACAGTTGAAGATGGAATTTCTACTTTGTTATTAGGCAATCTTTTGAAAATGTCCCATGTTTGATTAATAGCCTATTGAAATAGTTCAGCACTCGAAAAGAAAAATTACTATCTTTTTGTCAAATTACGAAAAATTTTCTTTTCTACAATTTTTTGATGAAAAGTCAAAGCGTCAATGATGTTTTTTGCCATTAACAGATTGTTACAGGTAGATAGCCTTTGTCAATAATAACAAGCATTTGTCAAACTGTGGCTTATTTTGAAGCTCCTTTCACAAAATGTAAGCCAACAGCGAATTTGCCAATATGCGATTGGTTATGGGAAAAGGCCACAGTAACATAGCAGAAACACATTATACGAGTGGCCCAACCTGCAACAACCCTTCCTAAGGCCTTTTGTCTGTTTTAAAACTTTGGATAGCCTCCTACAAACCCTGACTCTCGTCTATAATCCCTTGCACAATTATTTTATGGCGGAATATACCCCCCATGTATGTTATCGTTGTCTAGAACCTTGTAAAGTTTTTTTTGAGGGGAACCCTGTCATATGTTTTTTCTAGGTCGTTAGATGCGTTTCTTGGCTCAGTACTCCTCTTTTTTCTATAGTCTGCCTAATGGCAAATATGTTGTCGACACATGACCGTCCAGCCGTAAATCCGCTTAGTTCTTCATCTATTTCTGCCCCATTTAGTCGCTCTTTGATTAGATAATTCATATTTGTTATTGTTTGGAAAATATGTGCTATTTACTTTTCCTAATTCGTTTTGAAAAAGTAACAAAACTAAAAAGTTTGCACTGACACAGAAGTTAAAATAGGAAATTACAGCTATTACTCATGTAATGTCTTAACATAAAAAAGAAGTTCTATTCAAGGGGTAAAATTCACTTTTCGAACTCCTGAGGGATTTACGTAAAACTCCGTCGTCACTGTAAACACGGTTCCCCTCTTAACGACAGATTTTTGCTGAGCTTCGCTTAGTGATTCATACTTCATATAATTTAAATAGTTCAATAGAAGGGGCCCAATGAATTTTATGACATTCATGTGCGTCACGTATATTTCCTAGATGAACAATTCCTGATGCCGTCAGTAATACTTTTGAAGTCCACAAATTAAAATATCCGAATCCACAAAAACCCACTTGTGGATAGAAACAGATATACTTACATCAAATACAAGGTGAGTTTTTTTCATCACTAGTACAGGGAACTAGTACTTGGAAACCACAGCAGATACAACGAAGGTTAAATAGACGAATAATTGTAGTTTTGAATGCTCAACACAAAACCATTTGTTTTTCTGAAATTTGGCAGCTGGCAGGAGATATGTGAACAAAACTCATTTATGGCAGATGTGTTTAAATGACTCATAGTTTCGTCAATATCAATCTGACAGGAAAACATTAAATAGAAAACTTAGAACGCAGACAATTGCATGACAAATAAAATGGCATGGGAGACATTTTCAAAAATTAAGCCAAATGTCACATTTTATATATGGCAAAAACTTGATTTTTCTAAATGGTAACTATATTTGATTATGCCTTTATTTAAAAGGGCATTTTATTACGATTTCAGTTATATATCACATCGATATGTTTTTTCGACAAGTAAGTGATTGCGAATGATTTTTACTTTCTCAATTTAGTTGATCGAGGTTCGAAGACCGTCGTCAGCCGTCTTGCAAAACATTTAAAATACTATACGACAATTTGGGTACTTATGGAAGTTTCAAACAGCGAATAAATGCAGATAAATTAACAAGTAGAGCTGTAAACGTTAATGTCTAGACCGTTGTAACCCAGAATCCACAGATTTCAACCAGAGCGATTGCAGTGGAATCCAGGAGTTTCCAAAGCACCGTGATGAGATTTTAACAAAACACAAATTCCGTCCGGATAAAGTAACAGTATGAAAACTGTACATCTAGGGGATGATGAGCTGCGTGTGAATGTTTGTACATGGTTCCGAAACAAATGCCAACAAGGCATCCAATTCCTCCATAAACCATTACGGACCGATAAAACTCGATTTAAAAATTGTAGTATGTTTAGTCGACACAATGGACATATTTGGAACCAAACAAATCCTCACCACGGACACGACAAGTTAAATTAGGATTTAACGTTTGGTGCGGAATGGTGGGTTCAAAAATTATTGGTACATTTATTTCTGAAGGCTCCTTAAATGGATGTCGGTTTCGGAATGATCCAACATAACGGAGCCCATCCGCATAATTTTGGCCAAGTGCGGAATAATGTGGACAAAGTATTTCCAAGCGCTTGGATTGGAACAAAGGGTCCTATTTTACAGCCACCTCGATCTCCCGATCTTCCTGTTTTGGACTTTTTTTTTAGGAAAAAACACTGTTTATAATAGTAAAGATGGCAATTTAAATGAACTTAAAGGAACTGTTGTTAGAACATTTGAAAACATTGATAGTTGGTCAGTTAGAAAAGCAACTGATTCAGTTTTAAAGCGATGCAATGTTTGTATTGATAATAATAGAAAACTTTCTGAAGATATTTCGTAATAAAAATTATAGTTTCCAGGGTTGAATTTTAATTATTATTAGTATGTTTTGATTTTTATAATAAACACTTTATATGAGTTGCCGTCTTATTTAAATTAAATTTATTACCAATTTTAGGGTAGTTTTCAAAATAAATATTGAAGCATATTGTAATTATTTGTAACTATGAAAACAATGCTGTATGACATGCTATTTTCCATCATTAACTTCGATGAACTACGGCAAAAAAGTAAAAATCATTTGCGTCATTTCGCTTCATTTTAGAAAAAAGCTAACTATATGATAATATATATCATTAATATTGTAATAAAATACTGCAATCAGTAATGACATGATGAAATATAGATTCCATTAAAAAAAAACACAAGTTTATGTAGGATGTCAAAAAGAGAGTTAATTTGCAAAAACTTCTTATGTCGTTTTATTTGGAATTTCTGAAAACCTGTCTATGTAATGTTTTCCTGTAGATTAATACTAACTGAACTAGGAGTTATTTAACACCTGTCATGCATTAGTTGTTCAAATATCTCTTGACACCTGTTAAACTTTGATAAAAGAAAATTAGGTTCGAGCAGAGCATTCAAAACGGCAATTCTTTGTCATTTAACCTTCGTCGTTCAAAGTCAGTCATCGAAAAAAACTCACTTTGTATAACGATATGATAATTATGATGAGTATCACCCAAAAATTCTAACTTAAAGAAATTATGTACCTTTATAATTTTAATCATAAAAAAATGATCTGACCCATAATAAAAAATACAAATTTCAATAGCACAGTAAATTTCAGTAATGGAGTTCATAATATGCTTGTAGCATTTTTGGGAACTAAACAAGTTTGAATGGATTTAACAAAACTCAATAGGTTGAAATTATTACCTGCGGCTCCAAACCGGCTAATGAAGCGTAGGCAATTACTTGCGGAATTAGCGTCAGTCCAACTGTAATTCCAGCTAACAAATCACAGAGCGCGTTGTTTAAATTATAATCTTTCAAGTACTGAGATATTGGAAGTAATTTGCTTATAAAGTCCCAAGTGTTCAGCATTTTCTTATTTCCTAAAACACGAAGATAAATTTCTAACTGTGCTGAAGACAACAATATTTACAACAACACCAGTCCCAGGTCCAATAAATTACTTACCAAATTAATAATCGATCAGATAGAAAAGCTTTAGTGCTAAAATCACGGTACACATACTTTAGAACAGAATGAAATAAAATTATTGAAAAAACAATTACTATAATTGATTATTCAACACACTTTACAATTCAACCTTTACAAATTAGCTCTCAATCTCCATGGGTCGCCGTTCTACGATAATAGGCATCGCAAACAAATATTTCAACTAAATTTTGTTTAAACAACTTTGCGGATGTAATTTTCGCATTAACGAAACGTAAAAATATTCAAGGAAATTTGACATGACCTTGGAAAATAATTTGTTCTCGGATATACAGGGTGGTCCACCGAAAACAAAACGGTGCAAGTTTAATGGCCGTATTTATAGTTAGGGTTCCATTTGGCACTTGAGAGACACTTATCAAAGTCTGTCTTGATGGACAGTTGACACTTGAGGTAGATGCCATCTTGTGCGTCCTACTCGAGAGTCCGATGAAAGTAAAATGTGAGTTACCGATGTTATTCAAAAATGCATTGTAAACTAAATAAATATATAGTCTTAATCGATGGTGTGTATTATTTGCCCACAAGAAGATCTTTCAACAGGTTATGGGCCCAGAACGTTTACACTAGAGCTATAATTGTGGGCAACGGTAATCGCGTGTTTTTGCTTGACATATAAACGAAGGACTAGAAAGTTGCAGCCTCTAGCAGTCTATCCGTTTCTATTCTCGAGACAAATAATTTCAACAACTGGAAGTTCTGAATTACGACACTACTAACTAAAGAACAATGTCATGATGTAATTACGTGCGATCCACCGGGAGAAAATGCAACAGGCGAGAAAAAACGAAATTTTGCTTTAGAAGACATTTTCGTGAGGACCAGCTCGTTCACAAAGCTATCATTGCGGAGAAAACTACTAAGTTTGCGTTCAGGTATTAATGAAAGTCTTGAGGATCATTTCCTTAGATTTGACGCAATAATCCGGGATCTTAGAGACCTGGGGTCGATTATCGACAAAAGTGATCGTGCGTGCCACTTAGGACACCCGTAGAAGGGTTTTGACGCTAAAAATGGAACGCATTATTTCAAATACAGCCCCGTACACGAGCAGCTTGTTGAAGCCACTACTAGCGTCTGCGAGCGACGATTACGTACTCTTGATTGCGTTACAACTCGAATTATGTACCATACTTTACCCACGACCGCAATTACTTACTAAAACTGAAAGAAAAAATTGTATATTTTTAAATGTCAGCTTTGACAACGATTAAAAAGTTGACAGCAGCCCAGATTTACAAATTAAAACGTCATATGTTCATATACAAATATTCAGTAAGGTACATTTTCCCGTGAAATTTTAATGTTGTTTGCTGACAAAACATCGGACTTTTTGCTTTTAAACCATCAGACTTTCAGACCGCTCTTCAGTAGGGTAAGTATTTTTTAATATAAGATACAACGTTTATATTGTGATTAATGATGACAGAACTGTGCGTTGGATTTACTGTGCGTTTGGTTTGCAATGCGAAAAATGCAACTTACTTAGATGGTAGGTGTTTTATACTACTTTCAGTAGTGGCCGTAGATAAAAATAAATGCTACTTTTAGCTATGACTAAAATATACAATTTCCCAAAAGCAAGTCAATGAGTTTCGTTCGGAGCTGAGTTCGCAAAATCAGAGATAAGTTAATGAGCTTAGCTTTGTTAAATTCTGGGTAAGCCAGCTTGATATTTGGAGACATTTAAAAAAAATTCCAGTCAAACGAAACGACAGAAAGGTAATTCGCAATTGGGTTAAGAACTAGAAAGTCTTTAAAGAAACTGCCATTTGTTAAATATATTTTAGAAGTAGTCGAAAATTTTTTGTGGACTAGGTTTTGAGTTAGGTCACTTACGGGTATATTTACTTTTCTTTTATTTCATCCAAGTTTATTGACTAAGTTTGTAGTGATATAACTGGACTGACTGCCGAATCCAACAGACCTCAGCAGTGGAGAGGTAGCCCTTCATTATCATAAAGAATGACATTGGCGGTTGATAGCAACACATACATTTTAGAATATCGACTAAACCAAACTTTACTTGTACCTACTTTCAAGTTTTGGATTTCCTCTTGAAGTATGAAAGACTTTTTAGCATGAGTCGAAAAACCAGACTCGACTTTATTTTGTTTATTTTGAAGTTAAAAATGTAACGAACTGTTATGGTTTTTATTCAATTTTCTACAATCTTCACACTTGCAATCTTTGCTTACATGCCCAGCACGTAGACATTTAGTGCAGATATGAGGTTTTCTAATTTTACCTAATCTCAATTCAGGTGTAAGATTTAAAAACTTACCACAAAAATATATGAGATGAGTCTCCTTACAAAAGTTAAAAGCCTTTAATCCAGACTGCAGCGTAACAAGACAAAATTAAGGTTTCGGTTTAAGTTCATGAGGTGTTCCACTTTTTTCACAAGCTACATTTGAGCCAATCATTTCTAAAGTTTGACAACGTTTATTTAAAATCCAACCAAGTCCTCATAGGTSGGCATATTTGTAAAATTTGAGAGRCAACCCYCCAATCTCGTCTCAATAATGAATCTAATTTTGATAAAACAATAAAAATTCAAATCGAATCCCAACTATATACTGGTTGCTGCAGCCCCTTTAATGAAAGCATATGCTTTGGTAACTCATCTAATAACTTACGTAGATCCTTTCTACGTCCTTTTTTTAGAAAGAAATTCATGAATATTTAAAATTGAATTTACATTATTGTTAATTTATATTCTATTATTTTAATAAAGGTCGCAAATCAGATTCCAGGCTATAATGTAGTTTGCGTCGCAAMTCTGCAAAGACTGAWAAGCTTGTACAGCTTCACTCTTAAGGGTTGGTAATATGTAATAAAAKTTTTGRGTAGGGGWGAGATTTGAGCTTCGATGAWTGGGAKACTGAATACTATSACGAAACKGAAGCCAATGACTAACATTKCCATTAAAACTTKGTAGATTTAAAGGTGGAAGATTCATATTAGCTACAGGATCCAATGCTGGAACAGAGGTACGTAAATTAAGAACTATTGGTACCAGTAACTCTGGATTTTTCGTAATAAYAGATGTTGCTTTTGTTACAATTGAGTKTTATTTCATAAATTGRGTATTTAACTMCAAGAAACTACTATTTTGATCRACGTTATCTAAATGACTGTTGAACCTTGTTAAACTYCTTTTAAMCACTTTCTTTTTTGTTTACKCTTTGTAATTTATTGAATACSATTAATATTAAAACCGCCATATTAAARCWGGTGCAAAGGTCTTACATAGCTGTCACTGAGGGGTCATTTTCGAGAGTCTACCCTTAACAAAGATTGAAGACGAGTGAACCCTTATTAATATTTACACGGGAATATACGATTAATATTAAGAAACAATATTCAAATTCCCACAAAATTGATATAATAAATTCTAGACTGAATTAACCGGCAGTCAATTTCGCCGAAACTTTTCTTCAAWATGTAGKACCACTACAATTAAAATAAAATAAAGTTAGTSACTATACATAATGACATACAAWACAAAATCAAATGAAAATCAATCAACATAAAAAAGTGTCCTTCTCTAACTTTGTTTTGAGCAGAAAGAATGTTGTGTCTGTTTYCTACGTACAAAAGGTTCCTTTGGAAGTAACGATAATTTACATTCACTGTAGGTATACATATGTTTAGTACTGCAAATCACACAGAATCTACTCTATAATTTGTTAATGGCTCAGACATTGCAACAGAAATTTAAAATTTAAATTTAAAATCCATTCCGCTTTGGAACTTTTACCAATTAATTGAAGGCACTTCTCCGATTCGATTAATAATGCTGTTTCTCTTGTGTACCCTTTGTTTACCAGCAGCCTGGTCAACCCGACACAATTGTTTCAAAATTTTCCAAAAAGGAAAGATACAAAGGAACAAGTCCTAAAAGTAGCTGTTAATGTGAAATAGCTCACAATTTTGGGTTAGTATTATTTAGAAAGAACATGTCAACATTTATCAACTGTACACAATTTGAACATTGGGGAATTTGCAATCTTGTTTGATATCATTAAATGCATTCATTATAAAATCTTTGTTCGTTAGGCTGGGTATTTGTCTTCACTTCTCTCAACGATGTTTATCTCAATGAAATAATTAAGAATGAAACAAGCTAAATGGAATCAACAAAGCGTGTTTTAAGGGTCTTTTCCATGTAATGAAATTCAAGTTAGTAATTTAGCTCTTTATCTGTTGCAATTTCAATTTAATCCAACTTTCAATTCATATGCTCAATTTGGTAATGTGGCTCAAAAAATGAATGCTGCTGAAACTAACAAAAATGTCCCCCACAAATCATTTTCCATTTTGAACCATTCAAGAGTATCTTGATGTACGTGGTGTAGGAACTGAATTCCTGTGGTTTTTGATAGTGGAGAAAGAGAAAAAAGGACAAATAAATCAACTTAAGGTGTTACTGATTGCCATTCCGACGCCAACATATTGTTTGGGCACGTCAGACGTTCGCAGATAATAGGAAATGGGCATTTAGATCAATAGAAGTCCTAACTGTAAGTTTACCCGTTAGGTCACTAAATAAAGCGCGGATTAAAAGGGATCGGACCGTAACTATGACCAAACACGTCACGCGTTTAACAACCATTGAGTTCTTAAGTCAGACAAACATCCCTCAAAGAACTTTCAAGCAATAAAAACTGTGTTTTGGTTTTCAATGCAGTCTATTCTTCACTGATCAACTGATAGGACAGATTTCGTTTAATTAAATTTACTGTTATTTAAAATTGCTGACCCCAAAATATATAGGGTGATTTACGTAGACCATGCATTAAAAGTTTTCCAACTTACAGTTGTTTTAGAAACTTCAGCTTTTGTTTCCGATAACTAGTCGTGGCGAAACCACGTAAAATACATTTAGCCTCCAGCTGTACAGGGTATATGAAAATTATAAACTGACTTTCTCATATATACAGGGTGATTAGTTTAGTAGATTCAGAATTGGCGTCATTCCTCTGGAGGTGTCGTCTGGCGGTGTTTTAGGAGTACAGAAATTATAGTGAAAAAAATGAATTCTTATTAAACACTGAGAAATTTGCAAAAAACTGAATGTACTAGAAAAACGGCAGAATGTTTTTCAAGGTAATCTGCCTAATTAACATTTCGTAGATATCTGTTGCTTCGTAATTAATTAAAACTCCGGTAACCATGGATAAATAGAAAAAGTTACCATACGATAGACAATTATAAACGGTAAATTCAAAACCTTTGAATGACGGAACCTATTTCGAAACTCATAACCTCGAATTTTAATTTGTCTACAAATTACAAAAACATACATTTGATTCTGTAA